GCGTGAAATTCTTCAGGAGACAGCGCCCAATTTGGTTGATTCCATATGTGCTTATCGTGCTGGTTACATTGCTCAGGTCAGTCAGCTGTGCGCCTAGCATGTTGATTCACAATAGCATAAAAACTCTCTGTAGCCGGTTTAGATGATCTCATCTATGTTGCATTATCATGTGCGTCCGTGTGTGTGTGTGTGTGTGTGTGTGTGTGCACGCGCGCGCGCGCCATATGTGCTTATCGTGGTTACATTGCGCAGGTCAGTCAGCTGTGCTCCTAGCATGTTGATTCACAATAGCATCAAAACTCTCTATAGCCGGTTTAGATGATCTCATCTATGTTGCATTATCATGTGTGTGTGTATGTGTGTGTGTGTCTTGCTTATTGCCTTCATGAACTCTAGTAACCAAGTGGAGCTGCAAGGCATGGATGTCTACAGCATATGGGATGATGTTAACTTGGCATGACAGCTTTGGAAGTTCTCTTTGCTAAAAGTTCTTGTTTGTTATCATTGTAGTTTTATGTGTCAGTTATTGCAAAGTATGAGACGTTGTCATTGGTGTGAAAAAGAGAGATTTTATCCTCTCTCTCCCTTTCTCAGTATGATTTGTTATTTATCTAGGGTAGAGAAAAGGATAGAATTGGTTTTTCACTACCTAGGACTTTTTGTATGTCCTGTTAGTAGCCTTCACGTATGCTATTATGATGTAGGACTAAGAGAGAGAGAGAGAGAGAGGCAGAGAAGAAGAATTCAGGAAGAAGAAAAAACAATTTAGAGGAAATCTGTGTATTCATAATAATCATCAAAGTCAAAGTGAATATACAATCCCTAAGTCTATTTACAGATGAATAAACGAAATTTTGCTAATGAAAAAACATATTTTCATAGATAAACACACTTTTTAAATTCTTAGTTATTTCTATCTTGTTCCTGATCATATTTTCTTTTTGTTATTATACTGAACACATCCTGTTTTTATTTTGTTTGTTCATGATTAGCTGTGGACCCTATTTGGGATTTAAAAACATGTATTTTGATTTAATTTTCGCATTGTCGCCGTCTAATTAAACAGGATAGGAGAAGTATAGAGGGAGATTTTTTTGGCGGGAAGCTTTGTGGTGTTGCCGCAACAAATGCCCTGGAATTGGGTATTGATGTTGGGCATATTGATGTTACTCTTCACCTAGGCTTTCCTGGTAGTATTGCTAGGTAAGGTTCCACTTCTATCTATTTCCACTCCTAATGTAATTTTTCACTGAATTCTTCTGGTTAAATATATGGTAATTTCTATTCCTCTAACTTATATCTTTAGCTTGTGGCAACAAGCTGGCAGAGCCGGAAGGAGAGAAAGACCTTCACTTGCTGTATATGTTGCATTTGAAAGCCCTCTTGATCAATATTTTATGAAAAATCCGAGAAAACTTTTTGGGAGTCCAATCGAGTGCTGTCATGTTGATGCTCAAAATCAGCAGGTTTTGAGTTTTGTCATCTAAACTTTTAGCTTTCAGTGTTTGTTTTGCCCAACTTGGTAAGATTTAAGCTAATCATATTATTGTTTTAATACTTCCAGGTTCTTGAACAGCATTTGGTCTGTGCTGCTCTTGAATACCCTTTGAGTTTGCATTACGATGAAAAATATTTTGGTCCTGGCTTAAACAGCGCCATACTGTCTTTAAAAAATAGGGGATACTTGGGTTCTGATCCATCACGTGATTCTTACGCTAAAATGTGGAACTATATCGGGCATGAGGTATATTTTGCTAAGTTTGCATTTAGGCTTATTCTTCATTTCCTTTCAGTTACTCTTTGTAATTTGTACAGTTCTCCGAGTGATTTTATTTTTTCTGCATATGTAGCAGTCGTAATAGAATTTTGTTTTCAATATTTCTTTCCATATATATATATATATAAACAGAAAATGCCTTCACGTTCAGTTAGTATCCGGGCAATAGAAACTGAGAGGTACAAAGTTATAGATCAACAGACAGAAGAAATCCTTGAAGAGATTGAGGAAAGCAAGGCTTTCTTTCAGGTAATGATATTGATAGGATATGTAGTGCATTTGTGAAGTCTTTCCAATATCTCTGACTTCCCAATCTGCAGAATACTATGCATATCTGGCCAATAGAAGGTTTTTAGGACTAAAAATATTCCTTCTTATTATTACTCTGTATAACATTTACAATATTTATAGGAAAAATAACCTAACCGGGATCCCTTATCTTGAAGGAGATCCTTATCTTAAGAAATCTATAAAACTTAAAAACAAGAAAACTACTTCCTAATAAGAAGATAACTTCTTCCTAATTCTATCTCTAAAGTCTCATTTACCGGATTAGATTAGGATCCGGTCAATGATCCTTATCCTCTTTCTTGATTCCAACACTCCCCCTCAAGTTGGTGCATAGATATCTATCATGCCCAACTTGCTAGTAAGTTCTTCAAATCTTGGTCTGAATAGTCCCTTAGTGAGAATATCAGCGACTTGTTGTAAGGTTGGAATGAACGGCATACATACTGTTCCAGCTTCAATCTTCTCTTTTATGAAATGTTTGTCGATCTCGATGTGCTTCGTTCTGTCATGTTGAATTGGATTGTGGGCAATACTGATGGCTGCCTTGTTGTCGTAGTACAATCTCATAGGTGTTGTCACAGGTCTTCTTAGTTCTTCTAGGATTCGCTTAAGCCACACCATCTCACAAACTCCTAGTGCCATAGACCTATATTCTGCTTCAGCACTACTCCTAGCCACTACATTCTGCTTCTTGCTCCTCCAAGTCACTAAATTTCCCCATACGAATGTGCAATAGCCTGAAGTGGACCTCCTGTCCATAGTAGATCCTGCCCAATCTACGTCTGTGTATCCCTCAATAAGAACAGTCCTTTTCCTAGTGAGCCCTTTAAATACCTTAGGATGCGGTAGACAGCTTGAAGATGTTCCTCCTGGGGAGAATGCATGAATTGACTTACCAGACTCACAGCAAATGCTATATCTGGTCATGTGTGTGACAAATAGATTAACTTTCCAACTAGTTTTTGATATCGGGCAGTATCTACTGGTCTTCCTCCTCTATTTTCAAAATTTTGATTCAGATCAATTGGTGTTTCAGTAGGACGACATCCACTCATCCCTGTTTCTTCAAGTAAATCAATCACATATTTCTTTTGTGATACTGCAATCCCTTTCTTTGATCGTGCTACCTCCATACCGAGGTAAGTATTTGAGTGAACCTAAGTCCTTGATCTCGAACTCAGAGGCCAGACCCTGCTTTAAGCGTCCCATCTTAACTATGTCATCTCCAGTAAGAATAATATCATCGACATATACTATGAGAACAACTATCTTCCCATCGGTTCAATGCCTTGTGAACATTGTGTGGTCTGCTTGTCCCTGGGTGTATCCTTGTTTCTTCACAAACTGAGTAAATCTTTCAAACCAAGCCCTTGGAGATTGCTTTAGGCCATACAGGAACTTTTTCAGTTTACATACCATTGATCCATATTTCCTTTCAAAGCCAGGAGGTGGGTCCATATAGACTTCTTCATCTAAATCGCCATTGAGGAAAGCATTCTTCACATCTAGTTGTTGAAGTGGCTAGTCGAGATTAGCTGCAACTGTTAAGAGTACCCTTACAGTATTGAGTTTTGCCATAGGTGCAAAAGTTTCAAGATAATCAATACCATACGTTTGAGTAAATCCTTTAGCTACCAAGCGAGCTTTGTATCTCTCCAGGGATCCGTCTGATTTGTACTTCGTCGTGAATACCCATTTGCAGCCAACAGTCTTCTTTCCCTTTGGTAATTCCATTACTTCCCACGTTCCATTTTTTCAAGGGCCTTCATTTCTTCAAGAACAGCCTCCTTCCACTCTAGAAATTTTAGAGCATCCTGTACGTTCTTTGGAATCTCCACACTAGACAATTGTGAGATAAATGCAGAGAACATGGGTGACAATTTTTTGTAGGAAACAAAGTTAGACATATGATACTTTACACAGCCTCTGACACCTTTACGGTGAGCAATGGGAATATCAAGATCAAGTATGTTTGGTTCAAAAAAATGAGGCTCGGAAATAGGACTAGTAAGAGTAGGTTCATTATGAGGATTACCTGGAATCTCAACTGGATTTGGAGTGATCTGGGGTGCAGATTCTTAGCAGTGTTGGGAGGTGTCAGCCTTATTCCCTTGGTTCCGATTCCTTCTCCTGTAGACAAGCAATTTTTATTTGTTTGTTCCTCATTTGTATTTCTATCAATGTTATGAGATGGTTCTATAGACCTGGGATTCAAGTTTTCATTATTTAAATCACTAAACTCCATATTTATTAAAAAACTGGGATTTGAGTTTGAGCTTACTATTATAGGTTGAAGAAAATCCGAATCTTCATCTATGCTCTCCCCCTAAAGATGAGTTTGAAAAAATGGCTGAGATTCAAAGAATGTGACATCTATTGTAACAAACAATTTTTTAGAACTTGGGTCATAGCACTTGTATCCTTTCTGATTAGGAGCATAGCCTACGAAGACACACTTCCTAGCTCGGGGATCTAATTTATCTCGGTTTCGGTCATGGATGTGAACAAACGTAGTGCACCCAAATACTTTTAAGGGTAAATCGTTAACCTTGAAGTAGGAAAGACATTTTTGAAAACACTTAAAGGTGTCTTATAATACAGGATTTTTGTAGGCATACGATTTGAAGGTTTTGAAGGGAAAAACTTACTTTTTTCTCTTATTATTATTAGTGTAACGTAAACCTAATTTATAGGATACCAAGTACCCTTGACAGCTCATAGAAATTCAAATAAGCTCTTATTTTATCTAAACCTATCTAGATCCGGTGTTTATCTAGAAAAACCGGAACTCCCTATCTCCTAGGATCCTAATCCCAAACTAAGGGATTTGGCTCTTTAATTCAAAAGCTGAAAAGATAAAATCTTCTAATTTCCTACACTCCCCCTCAAGTTGGTGCATAGATATCATGCAAACCTAACTTGCTAACAAAAAAATCAAAAGTCGACTTGAACAATCCCTTCGTGAAGATATCTGTTGTTTGTTGTACTGTTGGAACGAATGGCACGCAGATCAAACCTCCTTCGAGCTTTTCCTTGATGAAATGCCGATCAACTTCAACATGTTTGGTTCTATCATGTTGCACAGGGTTGTTGGCAATGCTGATTGCAGCTTTGTTGTCACAGTATAACTTCATAGGAGCTTCTATCAGCAACTTTAATTCATTCAACACCCGTTGTAACCATAGTAGTTCACACACACCATTAGCCATTGCTCTATACTCTGCCTCAGCACAGCTCCTTGCTACTACACTTTGCTTCTTACTCCTCCAAGTAACTAAATTACCCCATACATAGGAACAATATCCTGTTGTTGATCTCCTATCTGTGGAGGATCCAGCCCAGTCTGCATCAGTGTAGATTTCAATCCCTCGTTGAGTGTTCTTTCTAAAAATTAGACCTCTCCCAGGAGAATTCTTCAAGTATCTTAGAATACGGTAAGTAGCCTCTAAGTGTTCCTTCCTGGGTGAGTGCATAAACTGACTAATAAGGCTGACTGCGAAAGCTCTGTCTGGTCTCGTATGGGATAAGTAGATTAGTTTACCAACTAACTTCTGATATCTTGTTGTGTCCACTGGATCTCCTTCCCCACTGTTGCTGAGCTTAACATTGGGATCCACCGGTGTATCTACCGGTTTACATCCACTCATACCTGTCTCATCCAGTAGGTCTAACACATACTTCCGTTGACTTACAACAATTCCATTCTTTGACCTTGCCACCTCCATCCTAAGGAAATATTTGAGGGAGCCCAAGTCTTTGATCTCAAATTCTGTAGCTAAATTCTTTTTTAAGCTGTGCATCTCTACCGAGTCATTCCCTGTCAAGATAATGTCATCAACATAGACAATTAGGATGGTAATTCTTCCGCTTGGTGAGTGCTTCAAGAACATTGTGTGATCCGTTTGAGCCTGTGTATAACCCTGCCTTTTTACTGAGCAAGTAAATTTCTCAAACCACACCCTCGGTGACTGCTTCAAACCATATAGTGACTTCATCAATCTGCACACCTTAGAGCCAAACTCTCCGTCAAAACCCGGTGGGGCATCCATGTACACCTCTTCTTCCAAATCACCATTCAAAAAAGCGTTCTTGACATCTAGTTGCTGTAGTGGCCAATTCAGGTTTGCTGTCAATGAGAGAAGTACTCTAACAGTATTAAGTTTTGCTACTAGGGCAAAAGTTTCCATGTAGTCGATTCCATATGTTTGAGTGAAGCCCTTTGCAACCAAACGAGCCTTATATCTTTCCAGAGATCCATCTGACTTGTATTTTACTGTGAAC